CAGATCTTACAATTTACATTAAAATGTAATGTCAGACCTACGCTGTCTTTTTTTTCCCCTATATTTTCTCCTTTCATCGAGAATCCCCCCTCCCTTCTCACACCCCACCACTTGTGCCCTCCTCCTTTTTTTCTATTCCCCTGTTTAAGAAGAAGGTCGAGAAAGAAAATTCTAACTTACTGAGTTCATAATTTCATGCCAGTTACTCGTGGTTACCATCTGGAACAAGATCAGACATGCGCACCTGAACAAAAAAGGAGAACCACTTTAACATAGGTCTGTCAATAGTTTCGAAAGTAGAAGGCAAACAAGAAATAATAGGCAGGCATGCAGGGTCTGGTAAACACCGTGTTCTTTCCGGCGTTAGATGACACGAAAAGCTGGGAACTATTTAAATAAAATGTGCCAGGTGTTCCACGAAGTTCACTCTAACCTTCGCGCAAATTCGGAACGTGAAACCAATTCTGACATCCACCTTTGTTAATGGTAAATCATAATTTCATTTCAACTTAAAAAGTGAGTAATGGGTATTGTATAAATTTCACAGATTTGGTATTTTTCATCAGAAAGTAGGGCAGAATTATGTGAAGGTGGTGGTCTGAGCGTGACAGACAACTGGCTTTTTTGAGAGCTCTGTTTTATGAGGATATCTCATTTCGGAAAAAAAAGCACTGGTAAAAGTTTTATCTTAAATGTGGAACATAATTCGCTGATGACAATTTACCAAAATGTTTGAAATCCTAAACCGCATGCTGGAAGATACATATGTCCTTCGCTTGTCTCACTCACGTCATGAAACAGCTCCATTCCCACGCTCGCTAACAGAAACCTGCACACCATAAAACACATAGAGGCGAAGCTAAACAAAAGGAGCTAGGCTAAGCTTACCAATATCACTAAAGCTTCGAATCTATCCTTCCCACGTAACAGGTTTGGGCCCAGGAGTTACATAAGATCAAACACTTATTCCAGTTTCTTAACCTCAGCAAAACTAGAGCAATCCAAACAATGCAAAGGCCTGACTTCAACGTAACCAGATGAAACTTTCAACCTCGTCATGTTTCATTTGTTTCATCGATTTGCTCGGCCTGATCAACCTTAACACAGTTAACACTGCTAAGGGTAAAGAAGACAGAAAGTTTCATTTCAGACTTGGCATTCAAATATTTGAACTCACAAAATTATTCCTAAGAGACACAGAAGATCCACCATTACTGGTGCGATCCTAGAGAAGATGGAAACAGCTTGCTTCAGCTGACTGTTGTTGAACGGAAGGCGACAAAACACAGCTAGGCTGGAAATTGTCGTCGCATAATCTCTGAACCAGAAAAAGTCTGGGTAGTTGGTGTACCAAACAAAGTTTGAGCAGAAAGCTAAGACGACCTGAAAGATGAAAAGAAATGTTCCGGATCATGACTGCTAATCCTGTGAGAAGAAAGAGAGTTCAAAAAGTATAAGTCTGGGAGGGGAGGGGAGGGGGGGGATCGCTGCATCGAGGAAGTGAAGGGGGGGGGAAGGGTGGGACAGAGAACCAAAAAATGAAAACGGGAGCCAAGAAGGCGAGGAAAAACATATCTCAGAAACTCTTTGTACTGCTCACCAAAAGAAGGTCCAGAATCTCCTGTGGTTGTAAAATTCGTCTTCCTAATGCCACAAGTCGTGTGCCGCCTTCAATCTAAACAACAGAATTGATAATTGTGATAATTTTATTGAATGTCTTAAAACCAAGACTAAGGTAACTGCAACAGCCAATCAGAAGAAGGGAAAATATCCTGAAGAACCAATAAGGACTCAGAGTAAAAACAAGTAAACCGCCTAAAGCGCAGGAAAACGAAGGCGACCAAGTCGTGATAGGTTTTAGTTTTGCATTTGATTAGTTGAGCGAGTGGGGCGAGTTTTCTTGACCAATCACAGAGCGAAGTAGAACAAAACCAAAGTAATAGTAATACTCAGTTGAAAATTTCTCCAAAGCGCAGTACTGAAAACTACACAGTTACTTGTTTTCGTTTACATTATTAACATTAAAAAAAAAGAGAAAACTTACCAGGAAAATTGTAACGATAACACTTCTAAATACTACAAAAAAAGGAGAAAAAATGTTTGAAATGCTAATAATAAAATGGAAAAATGAGGATTAAAACACAGCGCGATTGGAAATATCTTCTGAACTTTTTTTAAAGTTAATCTCCATTGCCCCTGTTTATCATTACTGAAAGATATCAGTCGTCAACTAAAACCAGCGCTGCTATAGAATTAACAGAAACTATACAGCAACTTACGACAAACCTTGTACTATGAATTCAATCTGTTTGTCTTGTCCTTTCCATTTAAAAGCAAACAGAATGCTGTTCGAGAGAAACACCATACAATCTAAGTTTCTAAAGGCTCTTTATGAGTAACACACACTAATTGTTCAAGAAAGAAAATGAGAAAATTATATAATGCAAAAACACTTACCAGTGTACAATGATCAGGAATAAGATGAAACGAGAGAATAATATACTCTGAAATAAAGATGCATGATATTAATAGAAAATTATGAAAAAAAGATTACACTGTAGTTAAAAATCAAAGCTTATCTTTGATGGTATGACTGCCTGGACGCGTTGCTTCAATTATACAACGGCCTTCTACAGGAAGAGTCGATGCGAAACATTGTTGCGGAGGCAATCTAGCCGGTTTAGCTGCGCAGGAGACATGCATAGATGGCGCGGAGACAAATTTTGCTAGTCGGAAACAAGCAAATGCCTCAGCTGGAAAAATTGTGCTGTTCGCACACACATTTTTCTTCCAAAAGAAATGTTTCCCAGTGTAGCACTTTCTTCACTTTTCGTTACTTTGGCTACCCTGAAAACATAACAATGGTTCCTAGTTTAGCCAGTGTTTACTGTGTACCTCTGAAAGGGACTTGGCGCTTTCTCGAGTGCTAATCATCCACTTTGATAGACCAGGCTGAAGATGGATAAAAAAATTGTAAATAAATAACAAATTTTAAAAGCGGGAACAACTTTTCAATGAAACGTCTTAGAATTTCCCGTGCCTTCGTTACTTTTCTTTTAGATCGAATTTTTCATGGTTCCACATGCCGCCAATCATCGAACCCTCGTTAATTCGAAGAAACGGGGGGAGGGGAGGGGGGGCGGCGCTTACTTACTGAAACGTCAACAGCATACACACCGGATATTGACATTCAAAACTGATCGTAAAGTTTTAGCAACGGTCACCTTGGTACCCGTTATTAATTTTCAAATTTTGAAATGTTATCAAAAACTAAAAACCGTACGAATGTGTAAATGTGTCCGAAAGTGTTTAAGAACAAACAATACCACAGTCGTCCAAGAAAATGGGTTAAAGTGGAAGGCACTTATTCACATTATAGGATGGGTGCTAATTTCGAATCTTTACCAATAGAAGGGGCGCATAGCAGAGGGGGCACTTTTTCACGGATTTATAGAACATACTTACAATTTTTAGATCCAAAAAGTACAAGTAATTGCAACATAAACAATAATGACGCGTTACACAGTGACAGGTACAGTCTGCGGTGATCACACAAATAAATGCCCACGTGTAAAATTAAATCGCCTTACTGTCTCATCTAGTAACAGGAGGTCGTCGTCATCTTCAAATTCAAGACTTAAAACCTGCAGGACAATCGAGAGTTATATGATGAGGTGAATAATACACGCATTGCGATTGTTTCTTAATTAAGATCTATTGGAGAACAGACCCATAGATGACGTTACACGTAACATTTTGCTTTTTCATCACATAAACAAGCATATTCCATGTTGCTGCAGGTCTATTTAGTAATAGATCACAGTAGAAGTCAACATGTGGCAAGAACGTCAGTGACACACTCGGCTGCGTCTCGTGTACCACGTTTTAAATCTTACCACATGATGACGTCATCTGTGATCTGTTACTAAACAGGTGTTCGGCAACATGGAATCTGTTAGTCAATTATTTACAAACTCCCACCTTGCTCAACATCGTTGTCCATTCAAAAGAGTCTACTTCACCATCCTCATTGGTATCTAACATTTCAATCAGAACTAAATTCTCTGCATCTGAGTTCTGGAGAGACATAAAACCACAGTTATTAAAAAAAAGGAAGGTGTTTACAGCTCTCTGATCACTAACTTTTGTTTAATTAAAGCCTACCTTTGGCTTCAAGAGGTGAAACAGCAAGGTGAATTTTTCATCTTCAAGGCTCAAGGCTCCTGAAAAAAAAATTGTGATCTTTCATTTAATGAAAGGGGGCAAGCTTCTAAAGAAACTGTGGTGCTGGGTGCTGCGTCAGTGGGTGTGTTACAAGGTAATTCTGTTTTATCAACCGAGTTGATAATGCTAGTTGGCCACCATAGAGTTTTTCGAGCTAGCGTTTCGATCGTTAGCCTTTCTTCGAGGCGATCTATCATTAAATCGATCACTGAATGATTGATTGGTCTGGTCATAAATTTGTTTGCATGACAGATGGATGGACCAATGGGAGAGGCGGATCTACTTATTTATTAACATGGAAAAAAGGAGTGAACCTACCCTTTCCAAGAGGATCTAAAAGATTCCAAGCCTTTGCCAGTTCAGCTCTCTCTCTAGCACGTTCTTTCTTGACATGCTTTTTGGAATAAACCCTAGATATACATAGAAAAAATTGGTTAACGTTGGAAACTGTCTTAGTTGATTTGTTCACTGTTCACTTGACATACCAAAAAGGAAAAGCTTGAAAAATGGTTATTTTCCTGAGAAAAAGTTGCAATTTAGAGCAAAAAATATTGCATCTCGCAAATAAATTACACTGCTGAGAGCCAATCGGATTGTAAGGATCACAAGTGATTTCAAAATGCATGTAATAAATGTAGATACCCTAAAACTGTGATGACATACCAATAACTGTCCACCACAATTGCCAGAAGGATTGCTGTCAAAAAGAACACACCAACAAACACAAACAGCCCTGAAAATTTTAAAGAAGGTGTAAAAAATCCAGTTACGAAAAAAGAGGCTAGAGTCCACACTCTGTAGAAAATATTTAACTTGTTCAATGGACCTTAGAATTCGGCTAAAATAAAAACTCCGAAACTTCTTAAAATTTCAAACAAAGGGGTAACAAGTTTATGTGAACGAAAGCTCTTAAACAGCTATCAAAAACTCTGCGAAAACAAACAAGAAAAGTATGTGAAAAATTTCCACATCAGTTTTCCAATGTCAAGATTAGAGTTCTATGACGTGATTGGCTAATTTGTGAAATCACACGCACCTCACATGAAAACAAAAAGAATACAAAGGGATGAGAGGAAGAGAAAAAATTGTTACTCGAAATTTGAAAACGAAAGAGATTTTACAGAAGGTATCAAATCACAATAATACTGATAAAAAATTCATTATAAAAAACTAAGTTATCCAAACCTTACCAAAATAAATAAAATAAGCTGATTCCACTCTAAGGGCTGGAAGCATTACCTCCTGTTGCAAGAAAGACAACAAAACTCATAAACAGACCCATGTGGACAGGGTTCAAAGTTAACTTTTAAGTCCAATTGCAAAGTTTTGTAAGTAACATTTTTTTTCCACTAGCAAACTGGTGAGACCACTAGCAAAGTCTTTCCCTTTGAAATGTCAATGACCATATCTGATATAAAGACTACAATTGATATTTAACACAGGCTAAAAATGAGCTGAAAAGTTTAATAAAATAGCTATTAAATATTTGGTCTCCTATGTTGTTGTCCTTACAGCCACTAAGTGGCTGTAAGGGCAACAACAAAGGAGACCAAATGTTTAAAACCCATCTACTGCATGTTTGGGAGACATGGATGATTCTATGTAACAAACATTTGCTGGTGGATTTTTTTCTCATTCGCAATTTATCATTAAATCACTTGCATTTTGTGAGTTTGCAAGCATCAATTTTGAGACCTGTGCGAAGCTTCTATTAGTGCAAGCCATATTGGTATGGCAGGTGTATTAGGGGTACAGCAGTTTTGTAATGTACTTACTGGGAAATTTTCAGTTGATAGTAGGACAAACAACTTCAGCATTCCAAATGCCACATGATCAAAAGCCCTACAAAGGGAAAAAAGAGAGGAACATCTCTATAAAACATGTAAATTATATAAATCAGTTATCAATGACTGCAAATATATGAAAATCACATAATATGAACTGAGGATTAAGAAATTAATTGTGATCTTAGAAGTAATGAACACTACTTAAGCAGTAGTGAAAATAATGCCTGAAAAAAATTCAGGCCTGAATGGGATTTGAACTCATGACCTGTAAAATCAGTAGTGCAATGCCCTACCAACTGAGCTAACAAACCAACTGGGAGCTGGTAATTACAATTGCATTTATTTAGCTATCTAACAATAATTGGAGGATAGAGTGTGTTCAAATGATATAAACATCTCGCAGACTGACAATGTGGTTTAATTGGAAGATTTTAAATGTGTACAAATAAATTTCTGTTTACCATTTTCACCTGATGATTTTATATATGAAGGGCAAAAGATAAATATTTAACAGCATTAGGAACTTAGTGAGAATGGATTCCAAAGCTGTCATGATATTTTTAGTCTGACTAAATTATAGTCAGTTCATACCCCTGGTAAACTTTTTCTTCACTTTGTACATAACATGGAACTGTTTTCCTAAAAGGTAATAAACAGTGTCAGCATCAAACAAGCTTAGGTAACCAAAGTGTGTGACTAGTAATAAAGCAATCTGATTGGTAGATATTTGGTAAGAGCTCTCCATCAACCTCAGTCATGTAAAAAACACAGTATTGGGTCATCAGTTAAAGGTACACTGTAATGTTGGCATAACCCTTTCACTTACAAGATCCAATCAGAAATGTTTAATTTGTGTTATTGAAGTGTACTTTAAATCTGGGCCCAGTTGTTCGAAAGGCCGATTAGTGCTATCCCGGGTTAAGTTTTAATCTGGGTTTCTTAATTCCCTTCTTCAAAGGCCTATTTAAGATTATTTCTTCAATTCTTTTTAGAACATTCAGGCATCAAATTTTAGTCATAAATAAATATACTAAATATTCTTTTAAATATTTCAGATCTGAGGTCAGATTTCATGCTAACCCTGGGTTATCTTAACCTAGCTTTGAACAACTTGGCCCTGAGGATTAAATAGGAAGTCCGCACAGAGGGGTATGGAGGTGTGAACCATTTCATCAAACATCTCCAGATTACACATTTCTTGGAAATGCTATCTCTGTAAAATCAAACAACTCACCCATGATGGGCAGTTGTTGATGATGAATTATCCAAAGGACCATTGCACTGATAAGCGTCCATAAGGACATGAACTCCGATACAGGCACACATTAGAACGAATACTAGAATTATAAAAAATAACTAGAAAAAGAAAACAATCCAACATTAAACATTGGAAAAAATATTCATTTAATTTAAAACCAACAGGCAAAACAACTAATCACTTAAAAATGCAGTCATTTCAATGCTAAAGAACATTTACTCATTTTCGAGAATTAGGGATCAAAAGTTAATGAAATCTCTCTTTGTAATTGAGAAAAACTAAAGGCTTCTGGGCCACACCCCACCTCCAGACACCTGTTAACAAACTACTAGCAAACCAGAATAGGGAATGAATACTAACCCAAAGACAGGAAGGGAGGGGGAGGAAAGAGGGGAACAGAGCAAGCAGAATAGCAAAGCAGATTGGGTAAAAGCACCTGGCCTTGCACTAGAAAACCTCTCTCAGATCTACCACATCACATAAGGGTAACAACTCCCTCAATGTGGTTTTAACCTTGCCCACTGATTAGAATTAGCCTTGTATAAAAACCCTGTAAAAATACTTGATGTCAGATTGGTAAACATCAACAGCAAAAGAAGACACATTACCTTTGAAAGCTTGAATCCAATTGTCATTAATACCTAAAAAAAATATACAAGATGTGCAAAAAATTCTGAAAGAAAGTTGTAAAGTCTAATGTCATGTCATACATGGGAATCTACATTGACTCTTAATGCAACATCAAATTCTTCCAGTGTTCCACAAAGGGAAACAAGGCAATTTGAAAGGAGCATTTAGTAGTTGATCAGTATTCACTTTAAGGTTTTTCCAATGCAACCATTCAAATATAAAAACTGCAGATTCATGTTGCATTCTTGAGTATAAAATAATTTGATTAAAAAATTCAAATTTTCTACTTGTGCCATGAAACATAGTTTCTTAGAAATCATACAATATATATGAAATTTAATGACAATTTTCTTCTACATATAACTGTTGTCAGAAATGACATTTAATGCACTTTGGGAATACTCACATTAAAAATATGTTGAATATTCTTCACTTTACACAAAATAAGTGCTAATCTGAAAGATCTAAAAATGGGCGGAATATACTGTGGAGAAAGAATCAAAGAATAACAGTTATTAAAATAATTTCCAACTCAAAACTTCAATAACAGAAATAAATGTACTAGGTGCATTTTTAGCATTTCAACTTACCTCTCCTAAAAACCTGGATATTACCAGCAATACAAAATCCACAGTGAAAAAGCAAACAAGTACAAATTCTACCCTGAATAATGAAAAGATAAAAATACCAATAATGTTGAAACTCTTACAGTATTAATATAAACTCAAGGCATTTCAAAATATCCTCTTAGGAAGTTCTTGACTATCTTGCTCTTCCTCATTTAGTCAGTCACATGGCTGTTTCTTTAAAATGTAGGTAATGACAAGTAGTTGTGAATGAATAAAATCTCACCCATTCCACCAGCCTCCTTCAGTTCTTCTTGACCAAAACACAGGCCACGTCAAAAAGATAATGTGCACCACAAGATCAAAGATGAACAGCATAATACAGGACATGTTCAGAACATAGACAATTGGATGAACTCTGCAGAAGCAGTGTAGAACACTATGTGAGTTATCAATGAAAGTGTTTGGAGATCAGAGAATATTTCCAGCAACATTTTGATGGCCAAGCAGTTCTTTTTTTTCCATGATTGTCTTGCTATATATTGTATTTCCAAACACAGCTAGCTAATGAGAGTTTGTGACCAGAAATTTTTTATCAATGTCAGTATCTGAGGAATTGGGTACCTACCCCTCCCCTAACAAGATAACAAGACACGGTTAATGTTGGGTTAAGGGAGGGGTAGGTGCACAAATGCTCAGATACCGATGTTGATCTAAAATTTTAATACCAAAGGGGCAACTATGCTTGATAATGACTTGTCTGTATGTACACCCCATTTACTAGCTATGCCCTGTAAATAGTAATGGTGACTATGACAGCGATTATTCTAATCTTGGTCATGAGAACAGTGATGACAATAATAGAAGTGAAAATACTAATGATGGCAATTGTATTACAAATGAATTGCATTTTAACTAAGCTACCTTAATACTTGAATAGTTGGAGGCTCAAAGAAGATAAGAAAGGAATGTAACAGGGAGTTCCAGATGATAAGATAACGAAACCAGGGATTGTCCAAAATATCAAAGCATCTACAAAAAAATTCATCATCAAAATTAATGATTAAAGATTGCCTTACAACCTAAGACTGTTACTAATCATAAATATGGCTCTAGTACAATTATAATGAAAAATGATTTTAATAATAAAGTTTAAAGAACACCTAGATCATGATCTCATGAAATGGTTGTTACATACTTTTGTGCAAGCCTTGGTTTAAAGTATGAGCGAGCCTTTCCATAGCTTCCTCTAGTGAGTGTAAAGACAAAAAGCTTTTATTAATAATTCTATTGTTGAATTAATGTAAATATATTGATTTGTGTTACTTCAAGTCTGTGACATTTCCAGGTCCAGTGGTCTGCCCTCAAGTCAGGTGGCTCACAAGGCTATGCAGGACCTGCTTGCATTTGTCCTGCTTCTTTGTAGTTGTGCTACCACTCCTGGATAGGATGCTATTCCATCACCGTTCCCCCCCCCCCCTACAATTACCCATTTATACTCCTGGGTGGAGAGATAGGCACTGTAGGAGTACCCCTAATCTGTCTTGCCCAGGAACACAACACAGTAACACAGCCAGAGATCAAACCTTTGGAGCTCTCCAAGGGGGTCAAGAATGCTACTAGTTAGGCAGCTGTGTCTCCTATACAACATCCCTTGGAGACTGCATGTGAGGAAAGAGGAGGATTATATTGTGACATGAACCAACATGATGGGAAGACTTTCCAATTTCCCAGGGAACTTGAGGACATCACACCATAGGTATAATTGCTAACTGAGTCCTATTCTGGATCCAGAACCATCGGCAGGGGAGTGCTTTTTGTTCAATAACCATTCATTACTGGGCTTACCTTCCCTTAAGTGCATCATCAATATGAGCTGAGGCTAATTTCAGTTCCCTGTGAGTACCTTGAAGATCACCAAACTGCTGGGTGAGAGCATCAGCCTGAAAACATGAAACAGATCAAAGATGAACTCCAGATAACTTTAATTTCTTATCAAAGGGTATGTATGTAGTGCCATTATGACTACAGATCTTGGAGGGCAAGAGGTTCAGGAATTAGTAATCATTTATGACAAAATAACCTCACAGAATGTTCGTGATATTTTCCTGGTTGCACCCATAAGGGATGGCATTTATTCAAAAAATAGATTCCCTTTTGCTGTGAGTCTGTTCAGTAATCGATCATAAATGACATCAAAATGTGATCATAACAAAGAACCAATCAAAGTGTGTGTAGAACTCAGATTATTATATACTTTACAGTTTACTGTTGCTTTCTTCACAGGAAGTAGAGTTCTTGTGGGATGACTGAATTTGATCCCATTCCCAAAAATCTCATCATCATCATCCAGATAAGCTGGCGAAGGATACACATCTTTAAGAAATACTAAGCACTTGAATTACAGATTTAAATTTTATCACCAAGCTCATTAAATAACTTAAAAACCATGATTATTATTCCAAGACAGATATCTAACTTCTAAAGAATCAATCAACGAGATGTTCCGATTGCACAACTTTTGGCCTAATTACAAAACACCTCTTGAAATTCTCGAAGAACACGCACACTTAACGCTTTAATTAATTAACAAGTGGTGACAGTTGATTGATCTCAGTAACGAAAATTTTTTAGCCTAGAAAACTAGCTACCCCAAAAACAACCCCCATGTAGCTATCATTATATGATTGACTTTGTCTAAGCCATGTTATCCAAACAAACGATTAAACTTTAAGCCTACCCCGTCAGCCTGAGGAACTAGAGACAAAGCAGGCACCAAAAAGCCAAATTGTCCAAAATTCTCCACCGATGATCGTCGTTTTAAACTCCGAAACTTCTCAGTACTTCTTTGATTCAAACTCGGAGTAGACGACCAGGCGATTGAAGAGGAACGAGATTTTCCATCGCTTCCGTTGGCCTCCTCCGAAACGATCACCGGTGTTTCGTTCTCCACCAATACTGTAACAGTGTTACTTTTCACACTCTTAGCTTCCTCTTGGAGTACTTCATTATCTGCCATTTTATTCACAATGGCTTGGAAGCATAAAAACGCGTTTGAGCAGCAAAATGTCCACTTTACATCTTCCCTCACAACTTTTCATCCTCAACATAGCATCGTGTCATGTAGAATTTCGCTCGTGAATGTTCACAAAATCACATAACGTTAGGAACGCTGGAATTTGACATAAACAGCTGCTCTGAACGCATAAAACTGGAATTAATGATTTAAACGGCAAACAGTAAGCACAATATAACACGTAGCGTGGCAAGGTGCCTTGCTTGTCACTCGTCTAAAAACAATATGAAGAAGTCATGTTGTTTAGTTTCATGTCACTAACGAGCTTCCATAACATTTCGGCATGTCCTGGCGTAGGTCAGCTGTAAAACAAACTGGTCAAGTTGAACCAGCCAAATAATTTGATTAACAGGAGACTTCAAACGCTCACAGTTTGTGGCCAACAGTTGTCAGAATCATCCGCATACGGGACAGCATAGCAACTGTCCAACAAAAATCAATCACTTTTCCTGTCGCCCTACTCACAGAATGCAAATGACGACCAATATTTCCGTACGGTTGACAGGATTCTTTCATCTCAAACACAAACAAATCCGTTTCTTTATCTATGATGCCCTATTTACACAACTACACTGTTATTTTCAGGCTTCGCGCCCTCTGACGTCAGTTGCACAAAGTTCACGCAATCCCAGTACCGTTAAGCGTGAGTCGAGAAGCCTCAACTTTGCAAAAAAGTTTTACCTGACAAATTTCTACCTTACTTTAAAAAAATGGAGAGAAAAGAGAATTTATTATCAATTCTGGGAATACGAGCAGGAATAATGCTGAACTAAAGCTATTTGAAGGCTGACCAATTTAGGACAAAAAGATCTTCACATGAATGCGCTCGAAAGCACAAAATCTCCTTTTAAGAATAAGGCAGGGCAATTAGCCTTTGTAGATTTGCAATAAATGGCTCGAACCCAACAGACAATACATCCTCTCTAATACTTATTTAGTTGCCACTCACTCACTGACACAAAAGAAGTATGAAAGCGGACGGAACAGTCATTAAAAAAGCAGATCCGTCCGAAATGGGAAGAAATCGTTTAAAATAGGACACACCCGTCCCAAATCGGATAGACCCGTCCGAAAATGGACCGAATCACCCAAACTCCGACGGAAACGTCCGAAATCCTGCGAACCATTTTAAAAATCAGTCGGAGCCTTCCGAAATCGGCTATGACCTTCTTAAGTCTCTAAACTCCGTCAATACATTTTGTAAACAATGCAAAATACGACCATTACTTTCCAAAAAGAATGAAAAAGTTGTCTTTATTTTTCTTAATCAAAAGTAATTACAATTGTAAACAGATATGCTAAGTGTTTGTCTGCGTTTTTTTTGTTTCAATATCTAAACTGTATGCGTCAATGGAAAATACATTTAAACTTTTTATCTCAAAGCAAAGTCTACATCACGCTCGATTCCTACAAACTTGAGAGCATCCGTAGCACTGTACCTGAAATATGATTTTAAAAAAAACAATGAAAAACAAGTAACTTAAAAAATCAGAGGTAGAGAGACAAAAATAAAAGCTGAGTAGCTCGCTTGTCTCCTGAAAGAGTGGGCCATGATCGAGTCTATAGTATTGTGTTCTTCGGCAATCTACTTTACCCTTTCTGTGCATTTCTCCATCAAGGACTAACATCAAGGTCACTGCTCTTTAAAATCATCGCCACTTTTTAAGTTTTTCTTTTTTGAGGGAGGAGGGGAAAGGGGGAAGGGGGGAGGGCTGGTGGGGATATTGTCATCTGATTGGTTGCAAGCGGTCAGTGGAATAAGTGCGTCAATCCTGAGAAAGCTGGCAAGTACTTAGGAAACCTACGGTGAATTAGGATCCCCACCCCTCCAGAAGGAGCAACAATATTATTGGGACATCCAAGTTGTTTTAACTGAGTACCATGAATTAAAAAAGAGGGTAAGTTTTGAGCTAAGTCATGAAAGAAAGAAATATGTTATGACATATTCATTTAGTCACGGAAAAAAAAGCAATGAAAAACAAGTGAGACAAAAAAAGAAAAACTGACTCCCCCTAAAAGAATCAAACATCAAAACTTCCCATTCTGCGTTCTGATGCTCCACCACTGAGCTACAGAGAACACCACGGTGTAGCTTGCTCCCAGGCCCCCATTATTAGACGCGCGTTCATCCACCCGCGGGAAGAATCAAGACGAGTCGGGGAGAGGTTTGGTGGGGGTTGGGCTCTAATGCTCAAGGCCTCGTACTTTCCCACGGCGAAGAAAAGAAACGGTGGTGTTGACGCGCAACACCAGTTAAGGATGATAAGCAAAGCCCTTGCTATGTTTCCACGTGACAAACGCCCTGTATATTGCTAGGATCAGCAATGACGACACTTTAAGCTTGTGAAAAAGCGATTGATCTTTCCTCTGGAGACAAAGATGCTTACTTATGAAGAAGAAATAGCTTTTCTTTCTTTACCTGTAGTCAAAGAATAGTTCCTCTCCAGCTTCGATGTCACGTTTGGCAAATATTCCAATCCGATGGTCCCCGTTCACCATCATCACTGAAATGGAACAAAGTGCTGTGTTTTCAGTTTGTTTCTTGCTTGCAACAAACGTGTACTAAGACACAGTTAATAAGTAATTCATATCCAACCCTCTGACCCCGAGCTACGAGTGACTAGCATCTAATTTCCCCATACAACACGCGAATAAAGATACTGATCACCAACGAAAGAAGTTCTTGATTGTTAAAAAAATTCTCCTTGTCGGCACCTTAAGAAATGTATGGAGAACAGTAGGGAGAAAATATATACTGATGCTAGGGTGTACAAGGTTAACGCTCTGTTGAAAGCAAAGGAGCGAGACGAAGTTTACAATGCGCACTGCACAATTTTACCGAATTTTTAAATTAAAATTTTTTTGATGTTGTCAGTAACTTATAAGACAAAGCTTAAAAGTCTTCAGCAAGGTTTTAATGAAATTATCATAAAGTGATTGGATGTGGACTAGACTTCGGGACACCATTGGATTCAACATGGACCACAATGTTTTCTTTCACATGTAACTGCAACTGTACCTAAGAAACATTCAAAAGATAGAAGCAAAGATAACTTTAAGAAAGGTCCAACGATCTCTCACCTTTGGCGTAACAGTTTGGACTGATGGAATGGTTAGCGAACCTAATTTTGTTTCCTTTGCGAGTAGCGTCAACAACAAAGTCTGAAAGTTAAGCAAATCCAACACAATTAACAAGAGAAATGCTACACAACTGACACGAGGATGGGAGAAAAAAACTCCAAGTCTCTCGTGAGGATTCAAACCCCAACAATGACATTAACATCGCCCAAAATGGCGATTTGGTTCTAGATTAAAATTAAATGAAATGTTAGGATGCTCTTTCCCTACCATTGTTCAGATTGAAGAGAAAACTGCACATGTACTTGTCGTAAACTTTTCCTCTGCGGTCGGCCTCGTCCTGAGAGATGATCTGACAGCAAAAGAAACGAAAGTAAAAACCTGTGAAGATTCACTTTCTATTTCAATTTGGAGAAAAAAAAAGACGTACATACTCTTGTTTCTTCTTCAGGTGTCTGAGCCTGCGATTTCAGCATAGCTGTTGCTAGGGGAAACGAGAGCCCGATGGCGAGCGGCCTGCTCGACAATCTTTCGATAACTCGAGCAATTTTATTGAGAGGTCTTTGAGCAAAGATCAAACGTTTTCTCGACTGAACAAAATAGTCCAGTAAAAAAAATAACCGATAGCTTGAGTTACCTCTCTTAGTTCCCAAAAAAACAAAGTAAATATCAAGGTGCTTTAAAAGTTTTAATTAATCATTCTCCTTCGTAGTCTCGCAGGCAGACAACGAATGAAGTGACTGCTATGTGTGCATTACAAATTAGAAAGAAAACTTTTCCTACCTCTCCACAGTACTCGCCGATGAATTCGTTCTTTTTGCAAGGCTCCTTGATGTAAATTCCCCAACCAGCCACGTCAGAGGGCGCAAGCAACAAATGCTGAAAAAGCCAAAGTGTACTTGTGTGTTAGCTTGGTACACTATACAATTGTTCAATTAACAAATTAAGTACAAACCTTTCTTTGACCACGTTGTAGGCCGACATTTCTACAGGAAATGTTAGTGGCTACATCAAAGCTATCTATAGAGGGAAATTCAACAACATTTACTTTTTGTCCAAAACAAACAACGTCATAAAAGTAAGAAGCCAAAACCAACTTACCTATCCTTAGTCATCTTCATTCCTTCTCAGTTTCTCTTTATCTCTTTTGTCTTATTCTAAACAAGCTTATAGTTTGTAAACCCCTACGAGTTGAAAGTACCTTTTTACACCGTAAAAACTGCCTTCCCGAACAATTTCCAGTTTCAGTTAACAAACTGGACGATAACACGACGATCAGAGGGCTTTTCTCTTTACTTACCAGCACCACAAGTCCCACAAAGGTCTGGGTCACACTCTCTGACGGCTAAGAAGCATGGGCACTGCTTGGTGTTGCACTGAGCTTTGCAGCGACAGCCAGGGAACCGGTTTTGACCTAACGAAGGGAGGGACAGTCGACTTCATTGCACTAATGTCTTAGCACCAGTTCAAAACATTATTTATAGTGAAAGTTATGGGACAACTGCCGGTCTTTAACGAGGAAATAACGTACTGAAGTAATATTAAACAATACCTTTTAATCTGATTTCAGGGGAGATTCTAGTAATCTGGAATTGCTTCGGTTTTGCTTGGCAACCTAACTCTACATTCTCAGCTTATCAAATGCAAAACCAGTAGCGTTTTCCCCGCGCTCTCTTGGGGTTACGTACATATGATTCGCATTCTAATTGGTCGTTTACATCACTAACAGCTGTTCTGATTGGCTGTTTGAGCACGTTTTTATTGAGTGTCGTAAAACTAAAACCAAAATGATCACGCTGGCCAATCAAAAAAAAACCAAATAGTCACACAGCAAATGAGGGCGCAAAGAGAAAACAAGCAAAAAATTGGAAGCGCGGTTGGTTATAATTTGGCATCTGATTGGTCGAGGAAGTGCCCAAACTGCCCAAAGCGCGGGAAAACGCGGGCGACCAAGTCGTGATCGGTCGCGTCTGATTGGTTGAGAGGATGGCGCGAGTTTTCCGGACCAGTCACGTAGTGAACTGTAGCAAAACCATGAAGCCCAGATTACTTTTCAAATTCAGTAACTCTTTAGAATAGACTAGACTTACAATCGGTGCTGCATTGACAGAACTTTTCGCAAAAGTTTTGAGTTGCAACACAGATGCACGACTGATCACATGTCTGTCCAGGATGGTCACAAGGAATGTAGTTGTACACATGAGTAGAGGTGCTGTCTAAAACGATACAAACACAAGGAAAAAAGACGCTTTCAATTAGTGTGGCCAAAATAGATGATTTACTTCAACGAGCTCCTGAGCTAAATTTAGGCAACTCCATATCAGTATGGTATGTAGAGGAAGGAGAAATTTTGGAGGCAGATTAACGATTTTCAGGGATTTTGCAGGAAGACAAATTTTCGCTCGAGATCACTGAAATGTTTGACAGGAAAGAATTCTTAAAATTTTCTGTTCATGT